TCCGCGCATTTCCGACAGAGCCTCTCCCCCGATGAATTGTGTTTCTTCTGTGCACCCGACATGTCCGCCTGCTCTTTCAACAGCGTCAGACATGTCTTGCTCGAGCGCATTTAAGGGGTCGGCAGATGTGGCGTAAGCCTGCAGACTGAAGAATCTACACACAGCCCAGGGTCCCTTCTAGTTTCCCATATCTCATGGATGCCCCTCTTCCCCTGCGTTTCGGATATTTCGTCAGCTTCTCATGAACATCAATTGCGTGTGTGTGGTGTGTGTGTGTGTGTGCGTGTGTGTGTGTGTGCGTGTGTGCGCGTGTGTGTGTGTGTGTATGTGTGTGCGTGTGTGTGTGCGTGTGTGTGTGTGTGTGTGTGTGCGAGCGTGCGTGCGTGCGTGCGTGCGTGCGTGCGTGTGTGTGTGTGTGTGTGTGTGTGTGTTTGTGTGCGTGTGTGTTTGTGTCACTGCTTCCCTCCCGGGAGAGGGAAGGATGGCGCCCTCGAGGCGCGGCCGCAGCCTCCCCCCCCCCGCACACTCCTTGCAAGACCCGCTGCTGAACCTGCTCCTGCTTCCCCGCCCCTGCCCGCCAGTGCTCCCACTCTCACCGGCCCTTTGGGCTACAGCCAACGCGCCTGGTAAGGACGCGCGCCTTCATCCAGGCTGCCGTTGTGTCCTTGCCCCTGCGGCCCGGCCTTTGCCGTGTTCACTGGTCGCCCGCCGCCCAACAAATCCCAACCTCGGCCTCCAAGGGTCTGGCGTCCTTATCACTCGTCCTTAATACACGTTTTGACTGTAAGGTGCTCCAGCAACAATATCTCTTCCCTCTTCCAAAAGCCGCCTTCACTTCGGGAAGAGGACCTCCTAGGCTCCAAGATGGCCTCCAAGGCAGCTCTCAGGATAGCTGAGGATGGTTCAATGTAGCTTACGACATGCCTCCAAGAGGTCCGACGAGGGCAGCAAGACGGCTCCGAGTGCTTTCGGAGCCCCCTCAAGAGCCGCCCATGAGGCCCAGATTCTTCACACACGTGAGGCAATTCATGTTGTTTCGTCTTTTCACTTCCGATGCGCTTTCGAGGCCGGCCGATGGCCCCAAGATGGCCCAAGAGAGCCCGAATATGGACCCAAGCGGCCCCCCAAACGGCCCCAAGATCGCCCAATATCGTTCCAAGAACGCATAGGAAGGCCCCTAGGGGCGATTTCGAGGGCCCCAGAGGAGGGGCAAACGTTAGGACCCCTCTCTTTTCCCCGATGGCCCCTAGAGGCCCTCCAGGGCTCCCAAGAGGCCCCCTAGTGCTCCAAGAGGGCCCCAAAAAGGGCCCTAAGACCCCAAAAGAGCCCCAAAAGAACTCCAAGTCCTCCAAAAGAGCTTAAATGGGGCTCCAAGAGGCAATTCTGAGGACTCTGCCTCGTCCTCGTTGTCCTCCTCCTCCTCCTCCTCCTCGTCCTCCTCCTCCTCCTCCTACTCCTCCTCGTCCTCGTCCTCGTCCTCGTCCTCGCCCTCATCATTTTCCTGTTCCGTTTCCTCCTCTTCCTCGCCTTCGTGGTCGTGGTCGTTGTCGTGGTCGTTGTCGTGGTCGTAGTCGTGGTCGTGGTCGTCGTCGTATTCCTCCTCTCCTCCTCCTCCTCCTCCTCCTCCTCCTCCTCCTCCTCATCCTCCTCCTCCTCCTCCTCCTCCTCCTTCTCATCCTGCTGCTGCCCCTCCTCCTCCTCCTCCTCCTCCTCCTCCTCCTCCTTCCACCGCCCCCACGCGGGCCCCAGGGATGGCTCGAAAAGGCCCTCTAAGACCACCCCCTTGCTCCAGAGATCTCGCTGGTGAGCGTCATTTAACATGGTGTTTAGCAGAAGGGGGAGGGGGGGGGGGGCGTCTGGCTCCAGGCCCCTGCTTAGTGCATCTGTTTGGAACTCCGTTTCGATCTAGGGTCCGCTCCATTCTACTCGGATCCCATTATCAATCAACTGGAAACCAATTGGAATCCTCTGGATCTGGGATCTGCTCCATTCTGGCTGGAACCCGATCGGAATACAATCAGAATCAAAGTTCCTAGGATCCGCTCCATTCAAACTCGGATCCCACACGGAATCTACTGGAATCCGATTGGAATCCTCCGGATCTGGGATCTCTTCCATTCCTATTCAGATCCTCTGCATCCGGAATCTGCTCCATCCTGCTGGAATCCAATTGCAGTGCATCCGGCGCTCTGGAGCCCCTAAGTGAAGAGTCGGAATGGCACGGGTGACAACGAGGAGGAGGAGGAGGAGGAGGAGGAGGAGGAGGAGGAGGAGGAGGAGGACCCCCTCCTCTTCCTGATTTTCCCAAGAAGGGCGCCCCGAAAGCACAGCGCACGGTCTCGCGAAAGAGAGCAATGCGCGTCTCCACCGGGGGCGGGCGAGGGGGGGGTGAGGCGGCGGCGGGCCCCCCCGTGCTTACTCTCCTCCTGCTTTTCACACGGGCGCCACGAACAGCCAAGACCTACCCGTCGATCATTCCTAATCGTATGTCTAATTGTGCTCGTTTCTAATGGTACCTGGCCCCCTAGTGGCCAGGAAGAGGCCCAGGATAGAACAATTAGAAATGAAAGGATCTTGGTCCCCCAGAAAATCAGAGAACTTCCGAAAACTTAGAAATGAACAATGTGTACTCCAAGGGGGCCGGGGGTGGGCGGGGGCGTGCGCCGATCGGCAAAACAATGAATGACAAAAAACACTCACTTGTTCACCCTGGTTACCCGCTTTGTTTCGCTACATGTGTCTCTTCGTCCCTTTTCCCGTCAACTCGCATGGGGGAAAGGTTTCTGAATGGGCCGGTGGGGATACGCGAAGGGCGAAGCATTGGACCGCGCAAGCATCGACCACCATCGGGGAACAAGGAATGGCATAAACAAACAACTTTCGGAAGTACGCGCGGATTTCTTGGATCGGCGCTGGGCCCCACTTCCGCGCGCCAGGGAAGAGGCCCAGCGACGAACCAAGAAATCAGCGCGGACTTCCGAAAGTTCATGTTTGTGTCGTTGTTTGTCCCCCGGCACCTTCCGCAAAACCTCCCATGTCGCGATTATTGTCACGACTCGTTCCCAGGACCGTCTCTCATCCCGATCCGCCCTCGGACGGCCCCAGACCGCTGTAAGGGCCCCTGGAGGCAGAAAATCTGCAAGACAACGATGTTCTTTTGTACGACGCAAGGGTGCCCAGGTCTGGACCGACCGACCGACCGACCGACGCGGAAACGAGGGGAGCAGCGGAAGGAGGTGCGCAGAGTGAAAGGGCGGGCAGGTCGCCCTGGTGCACAGGCCGGACGGTACTCTTGGGCCTCCTCCTCCTCCTCCACCTTCTCCTCCTCCATCCTCCTCCACCACCATCCTCCCTCCTCTACCTTCTCCTCCTCCTCCTCCCTCCTCCTCGTCCTCCTCCTCGTCATTATCAGCAGCATCATCATTAGCATCAGTATCAGCATCAACATTAAGACTACCATCACCACCAAAATCAACATCATCAGAACCACCATCAACATCATCATCATCATCATCATCATCATCATCATCATCATCATCATCATCCTCATCCTCATCCTCATCCGCACCCTCATCCTTATCACCACCGCCATCACCACCACCATCACCACCACCACCACCTTCACCAACACAATCGACATCCCCCAACATCATCATGATCGTCGCCGTCGCCGATATCATCATCATCATCAGCAGCATCAGCATCATCGTCATCATCGTGATCATCATCATCATCACCATCATCGCCACCATCGCCATCACCATGCCCATGACCATCATCAGCATCATAACCACCAGCATCCTCATCCTCATCCTCATCCTCCTCCTCCTCCTCATCATCATTATCATCATCATCCTTATCATCATCATCAGGCTCATCCTCATCCACATCATCATCCCTATCCTCACCTATTCTCACCATCATCAAGATGCATCATCATCGTCACCATCACCATCATCATCATAATCAACATCATCAATATCACCACCACCATCACCATCAACATCGACATTCTCCAATTATCATCATCAGCAGCATCAGCATCGCCATCACCTTCAACATCACCATCGCCATCACCTTCACCATCAACGTCACCATTAGTATCCTCATCCTCATCCTCATCCTCATCCTCCTCAACATCATCATCATCATCACCATCATCATCTGCATCGTCAGCCTCATCCTCATGCACATCATGGTCCTCATTCTCACCCTCATCCCCATCACAACCACCACCATCATCACCATCACCACCCTCATCCTCATCATCATCCTCAGCCTCATCCTCCTTCTCATCCTGATCCTGATCCTTAACATCATCCCAAACCTCATCCTGACCATGTTCGTCATCATCGTCATCATAACCACCATCATCGTCACCCATATCAACATCACCATCAAGATCACCATTACCATCACCATCACCATTATTATCCTCATTATCATCCTCATCCTCATCAGCATCAGCATCAGCATCATCATTATCAGCATCGTCAGCCTCAGCCTCATCCTCAACCTCACCAGATTCATCATCATCGTCATCATAACCATCACCATCATTACCATCATCACTATCACCATCACCATCAGCCTCAACACGTCCATCAACATCGTCGTCATCGTCATCATCAACATCGTCACCATCATCACCATTCATCACCCACCTTCATCACAACCACCGTCACCATCACCATCAGCATCATCATCAGCATCATCATCAAGATGCATCAGAATTCGCATTAGCATCATCATAGTCATCATCATAATCATCATCACCACCATCATCATCACCATCAACGTCACCATCACCATCACCATCATCGTCATCGTCATCGTCCTCGTCATCATCGTCGTCGTCATCACCATCAGCTGCATCAGCATCATCAGCATCGGCATCAGCTTCAGCATCAGCATCATCATCAACATCATCATCACCATCCCTCTATCGCCCCTCCCCGTACCCCATATCCCGACCGGCCGATCAGGCCCGAGCGCGGGGCTGGGTCAGCGTCATGAGCCCGCGGTTGGGCTTGTCGAATTCCCGGAAGGCGTCCCGGAAGAAAGGGACGAGCTCGTGGCGCCTGCCGCATGGGGCGAGGCTGCCAGTGGCTTCTGCTGCCCCTCGGCCCGCGCCGGGTCTTCCACAGTCTCTGTCTGGAGATCCATGCATTGGGCTCGGTTTACTCTTGTTTGCATCTTATTGCATCAACTTCCATGTACATCCATCTGGCCTTATCCCCGCAAGTGGATTGGAGAAGCTGAGAAGAGTCGTCAAGTCCCTTGGGACCGAAAAAAGAGAAGAGAGCGAGGGTGATGCTCGACCGAGGGGACTTTGGGCGTTTAGCCTCTGGCCACTTTTCAAGCAATGCAAGTGGGGGTCTCCACTAGAGGAGTCGTAACCTCCATCGGGAGGGCGAGGACCCCCAGAGCCTTCCAAAACCTCCCAAAACGATCAAGATCGTCCGAAGCTTCCTCGACAGCTGGTCTTCGAAACCGGACCCTCAGGCGGAGCTGCCGGCCCTCTTGGTGGTGGCCCACCCCATCCTCAAAGGAGCCAGCGACCCTCTTATGTGGTGACCCACCCCTGGGCACCGCCCGACTTCCCTCGGCATCCGCGATCCTCTCTGCATGCGTGCGCGGGGCGCATCTGGAGGCCTCTCGTCGCCATGGCCGGATCCGCCTCGGGAAACCGGCCAGGATGGACCCCGAGAGGATCATGAACGGACTTGGGCCAGGCGGGAGATTTTGTCTCGACTGGGCGACGACACGAAGCGGGTCCTACGCGAGAGAGTGCACAGCCACCTTGCGCGGTGACTCACGCGGGCCGTTGGCGCAGCCCGCTGCGGTGCAAGCGAGAGCGCTCACGCGCGCAGGGAGGAGTATCTATAAGGAGAAGGAATGGAGGAGGAGGAGGAGGAGGAGGAGGAGGAGGAGGAGGAGGAGGAGGGGGAAGATGAGGAGGAGCATACGCGCGAACGTCGGGGTCATCGGACCCGTTTCTGCGCCGCTCCGCTGGCCCTCCTCTGGGCCACGGCGACCCGGGCGCTGCTTCCCGACGCCGCACAGATCCACTCCTCCCGGAGCCCGCTCGCGGCCCTCCGTGAAGGGGCCTAAGGAGGCACGCATAGGTATGCACAACCTCTGGGGATCACGAAGATATCGGTATACACATACACCTACACAAACCTCATCTCAAATATACACATAGGTGTACACCAAACATGCATGTGTATATATATATATATATATGTATACACATGTTCCAAATGCGCTCGTCTCTCCCTCCGCTTCTCACGGTGCCAAAACCTTTCATGGACATCTGTGCTTGATTGTGTGTGTGCGTGCCTATCTTTCCCTCCTGACTCTGGCAGCGCCGACTGTTGGATATCGGCCGATCCAGGGCCACTGACGGAGTTCAATATTGGACGCCCGTGCTGAGGTTGCCAGAACCTGCTGTACCCGTCGCTCGGCAGAAGTGGGCAGAAACACAAAGTAGGAAGACGTGAGGAAATACAAGGGAAGGCCGTCCGATTCTTGAAACAGAACGGGCCCGCAGGAAGGGGTCTGGACCTGCAGGGGACCACTCAGTGACAACAAATCACGACGTCGGGGGTCTGGGGAGGGGGGTATCGTTTGTGGTTCGACCATCGTCGACCACTGCTCACAAGAGGGGAACTAGAATGTCGGTCGGTCGGGCGCGGCATTGCAGCAGCCTGCGCTCCAAATTGCTGAAGGCTCTCACCCCGACTTGGTGCACCTCATGTACCCATTTTCAGGGGCGTGCTGATCATGTTCCGACCGCGACGCTTCCCAACAAAGGGAGACCCAGCCGTGAATCCCTGGCGCCCAACGAACATAAGCGGGAGGGCGGCGGACGGCGCGGAGCGTTGAAAGGACAGTGCGTGAAACACAGGAGCAGAGGTAGTCGCTCTCAGCCTGGCAAAGACGTGAGGAAGAAGTGCACATGTCGAAAATGGAGGAGGAGGAGGACGGGAGGGGGGATGGGGGACGCGAAGAAGGAGAAGACGGGGAGGGAAAGAGGACACGCTGTGAACACGCTTAATGCCGCTGGAGCCAGGTGGCCCAAGACCGTCAATCGCCGGTCAACAAGCGGTACCGCTGCACCGGGAGCGAACTGCGGGCGCGATGGCGAAAAGGAGCAGAGCGCGAGGGGGGAAGGAGGAGCGCAGCCAGACCAGGAAAGCGGGCGCGGGGATGCCGTAGCAGGTCTTGCATGCGAGCTCCGTACGAGCAGCGGAGACCGAGGCTTCTGTTGTTCTCATCGTGTTTGAGGACCACACCCCAGAAATAAGTTCGAGCACCCAGAAAAATATCGAAACAGTGTCAGACGAAAATCGCATCACAGGGCCCCACACGTGAAGACCCTCAAGTTTCGGTGCTTTCTTGGTGCTCGGACTTCTTCTGGTGCTCAAGGCCAAAGTACGTTGGAACGTCGTAAGCCGAGGCCAGCTTCATGTGGAAGGCCTTGAGGGGGTAATGGCACAGGGCGCCGAGATGGGGGCAGTGGCTAGAGCAACGTGCTGTGAACACGTCACGGCGTCAGAGGCCCGAGGATGCAGGGTCTCGCGACACGCGCTGGGCGCCGCGTGCCTCTCGCACGATCTCGGGCCTGCGGACGTCGGCTCCTGCTCGGCGCTGCTGCGGGCCCATCTTGGGGCCGGGGCTGAGCATCGTTTTACCGACCCCCAGCCCCATGGGGCTGGCCCGGGCCCCACTGGCCGATCTACCCTCCTAAATGTGGACATGGGCCGTTGCCTGCGGGTTTCCAAGGGCATATCCCCAACCAGGGTGGTAAAATGGTAGGGGTCTGGATGGGGATGGGGATAGTGGTCGGTCAAACGATCCTCAGAGGCTCGACGGGCTTAGTGTGCCACCCGCGCCACGGACGTGGCAAGCTCAACTCAAAAGCTTCCCGTACATTCGACGCCTCGCCCGGGACCTTCCGATCTTCTCCCCCTGTCGAGAATCTGTTCTACGGCCCCAGGGCCTGGGTAATGAAGAGCGCCCCCAGGAGTGGCGGCCGACTGGCCGCGTCGAATCGTGCACGGCGCGACGAGGACGGTGACGAGGACGAAGACCACGACGACCCCCCTCCCGCGGAAGGCACGCCTCTCGCGAATGTGCTTGCAGATCTTCCCGAGGATCACCTCCGCACGCTTCGGCGCCCTCTCCCCTGCACTGTCCGGCGACGCCTCCTCTCTTCCCATCTCGCGACAATCTGGAAGGGGGGCATCTTTGCAACCCGATGAGGCAAGCCTGCATCCCCTGAGCGTGTCTCGTGCCGCGCGCGGTTAAAAAGTGACTCTGGAGACTGAGGGGGGCGACGACCGCCACGACAGGGGGGAGGCGGAGAGAGAGAGAGAGAGAGGAAACTCGCAGCCCGAAGCGCGGGGTTCGATCCCTTTGCTCGCCCAGGGGTGCAACGGGAGCCCCTCGAGGACTCGCAGCTCGCCCGAGAAGTGTCACCGTCGACGGCCCGGGAGGAGGAGGAGGAGGAGGAGGAGGAGGAGGAGGAGGAGGAGGAGGAGGAGGAGGAGGAGGGGTAGGAGAGGGGGAGAGAAAGAGGAGGAGGAGGAGGAGGAGGAGGAGGAGAGGAGGAGGAGGAGGAAGAGGAGGGGAGGAGGAAGGAGGGAGGAGGAGGAGGAGAGAGGGGAGGAGGAGAAGGAGGAGGAGAAGGAGGGAGGAGGAGGAGGGAGGAGGAGGATGAGGAGGGAGGGGGATTGCCAAGCTCGCTATAGGTGTACAGGGTACCTAAACCATCTTTAAGGCATTGGCAGCTGTTGCCAAAAGCTTAAAGTTTATTGGATGGCAGAGGCCTGGAGCCAGAGGCTGGGGAGGGGGTAAGCCCGCAATGCAGCCTTTTGTCTGGCCCGAGTCCACGGGCAGGGAAGGGAAACTGCCTCCCGACTGCGGGGGTCTCTTAGGGCCAGAGGGGAAACAACCCTAACGACCCCCCTACCTGTGGGGCAGCCCGTGTCCCATCCCCCTCCCCTTCCTCCCCCCCTTGTGCCAGGAGGGAAAGGTTGATGGGGATAGGCCGAGCTGGCCAGGCGCCTCGGCGGCGCAGCTCCGAAGCAAAACTTCGGGGCCCTCGTGTAGCCACACTCGGTGCGGATGCAGGGCACCGCCCCTGGTCCAGGCGCCTCGGCAGCGCCCTCCGCACCAGAAGAATGGGCCCTCGTGGAACCACACTCTGTGTGGATAGTCCCGACCGGGGCGTCTCTTAGGACCAAAGGGAACAGTCCTAACGACCCCCCTACCCTTCCGGTTACAGGAAGAATCAAGAAGCTTCACGAGGGCGGACGAGAGGAGGAAGCTCCGCCAATGGCATCTTAGAAGGCAAAGGGCAGGGCGGCCGGAAGCAACGAGTGGCGGCACCCTTGTTTTGCCGGTTGCCTGCTGTACGCCATCGCCCCCGCAACTTGAAACATGGGGGGGACAATTTGTTAACCCCCTTCGTGGGTCATGTGGCGGCATCCTTGTTTTACAACAGCCCCATTCCAATGCGCGACCGGCCATACTCAGCGGGTGGCTCTGCCTCGAACAGGCTGGCCAAAGGCAGCAGCTCATCAAGCACCTTCGCCTCCCCTTTGGACGGGTCTGGGTGCTTTCGCTGGAACATTATGTTCCAATTGCTTCGGTTGTGTGGGCTTGTGAACTTGCCTTTGCAAGGTTCAGCAAGCCCCGTGGCTCTCCGTCCTTGGCAGATGCACCCGCAAGTGTAGCACGCAAAAATCAATTGATCTTCGCTGTGGCAGGCTATAAAAATGCGGTGTCCTTGGGGATTGGCGGCGATAGCTGAAAATGCGGAGTTGTGGCCAGGGCACGCGGCTGTCTGCGGAGAGAGCTTGGTATTACTCCTCTTGTAGCACGCTCTGCACGCCCAGGTCGCGGCCTTTATCCATTTCCAGCTGTGACCCCGGGCACGGCCTGGGACTTCTGGTTGGGGGCCCTGTTCGACCGAGGAGCCCGCCAACAAAATCCCATTTTCGTCCGTGGCAACTGCCGGCACGATCGGCGGTGGCGGTGGGAGAAGAGGACGGGGACAGGCGTCCAGGACGGGAAAGGACGAGGGCACTGCGGCCGTTCCCGCCGCCGTTTCTGCCCGCACCTCCGTAGCGAGCGCTGTTCGGGGGCGGGGAGCTGGCAATTCTGGCGGGAATGGAAGCGCCTGCCGCGCCGCCCCGACTCCGGTCACGAAGCCTGGAGTCCTGAGACGTTTGTCAAAAGGTGCGCGCACTGCCTTGGAGGGGGCGAGTCGGGGAAAGAGAAGTAAGGCTCGGCCAACATATCGAAGGTACCGCTTCAGGGAAGCGCTTTCCTCAACCCAACACTCGATTTCAGCCTTCGAAGGTTGAGCCAGTTTCAGCGCACCCTTTTTGGCGTACCTGTCAGCCCAGTCGTTCCCTACAGCTCTGTACCATTCCAACGAACCTGTAGGCAACTCTTCGGGATTCACGTGCGCTGGGACTTTGCGATGCTGAAATCGTTCTCCCACGTGGCCGCTCCTCTGATATGAAATTGGAGGCCTGCGTAGACGTGCTGCTGGGCCACTACTTGCTGCCACGGCGCATCCGTAAGCTTCACCACACCTAAAAAATCAGAGTTTATCGTGGTTGCGCCTGGGCAGAGTTGCATCACCGCGAGGGCCGCGATGTGCTCTGCCGCAGAAGATGTGTGCGGGTAGCCCGCGCCCACAAGCCCCCACATAGCGTGCGGCAAACAGTTCCTCCGCAGGACTGATTTTCACTACAGCCCAGCATGCCGCGTGAAACGTAACCGGCCCGTCTTTAAAGCAGGATCCATCTGTGAAGACTCCGCCAACGAAAGCTTCCGCTATGGATGTGACTTCTTCAGCGCACCAGAATTCGCGGCCATCGATGCCCGTGCCTGGAGGAGGGGTGGACAAAAGCTCAGGCTGCTCTTGGAAACCGCAAACAAACGGAAAACGTATGTCAGGATCGGATATTAGAGCTCTATCGGACTCCGTGAGCATTTCGTCGCTGACCCACTAGTGAACGGACAGAAATGCAGGCGGTGGGAGAGGCTGTCTGATGGCGCCCCGCATATGCATGTAGTATTCACGGGGTATCCAGCCTGCCGCAATTGGTGTGCCGTCCACAGCGAATGGCACACGAAAGCCAAGAGCAATCCTTGCTCCTGTTTCGGCAGGGCTGCGTCTCTGATTAATTTTCTGGCCACGCTGAAATCCAACGTCGTGTTCGTTGGTTTCCCGAGTTTGCTCGCTATGGTGCTGGAGTGGCCTTGCGCACAATACTCGCGCAATTGGAGCTCTATGAACTTTGGAGAGGATGCCGTGAGGGGCCATCGCCTCCCTGCTGGGTCTTGCAATATCAAAGGCGTGTGAAAAGACCAACCCACTGGGGCGAACGACAAAATTGCGGCACCGAGGGGCCCTCGCACCTGGGTCCACGCACCAGGGGGCTGGGCAAGGATAGGCTGAGCAGAGGCGAGTCAAAGGGTGAGGGTTGGATGCCGAATGATCGGTGCCCGACTTCCACACGATCTTGGATCATAGGAGGGCTGGGGCGAGCACTTGCCTCCAAGTGGGGTCCTCGTGGACCGCCATGGAGACAGACCGCGATCTGGAATCTTCTCGGGCACCGACCAGCCGCAAGAACAAAGATTGGGCAGATGCCAGTTCGATTTGGTCCACTCCTGTGACGGAGACCCCGTGCATGCCGAATTGGTCTAAGCCAGTGGTGTATAGTTTCCTCAGGTCCGCGCCTGAGGAGTGAGCGGTGCCGCCGTGCGTGCCCAATGCCCGAAGTAGCTTCACCCTCAACCCTGAGTGGTTGGCGAGGGTGACTGACTTTGCGGCCGCAATCTTGCATTTGAGCTCGAGTCGGATGACTTCGTGCATGTCTGCCGCTCCGTGCACAAGCAAGTTTAAAGGGAGGAGGGAGGAGGAAGAGGAGGAGGAGGAGGAGGAGGAGGAGGAGGAGGAGGAGGAGGAGGAGGAAGGGGAAGGTGTCCCCACCACGGTTGTCACTGCTGCAGGATTTCTGCGTGGAGGCCTCTAGTGTATGCCAGGGGTGGGCGGCCCGTGCCAAAATGCCATCGCCTGACCCCTTGGTGTTTGCCCCCCACAAGAGATTCCCGAATCAAGTGCCCGCGTCGATTTGAGCGGGGACCGACCGTACCGGCATTCCTGTAGGCCTACCACGAAATATTCTTAGAACCAACGAAATGTTCTAAGAGCAGAAACGATGTTCTGGGAACAGGGGCCCGATGTGTTAAAACACGGTAGTCCCAGCCAGTAATGTTCTGAGACCATTTCGTGGAAACCACAAAAGGTTGTTAGCACATCGTTTGGTACGCCTATAGGCGAGCCAGGACACTTCGCCACTGCTTGATCGATCCTGTCCAAGACGCATGGACGGGGGTCCAGCAAAACCCCCCTGTCCAAGCCCCGGAGGGCAAGCGCAACGTCAATGTCACGCTGGCCGAACAACCCTATCAGCGCGCTACCTTTGAAGAAATAACAAGCTGTTCGGTTTCACGACCAGCACGCACAGCGTGCAAGACGACGCACGTACTGCCCAGCTCTCTATTGCCGTGAACTCATGTTTGGGCACGGTGCCGCCCACCAATACCCTGGATGCTAAACATTTTGAAGTGGTGATCTTTATTTTGGCGGAGGCGCTTTGTGAACCACTCGATGCCCTCGGTGCTCGATCGAGATTTGGCAAGAGGCTGGCATACGAACCGCTCCCCAACATAAACCTACTTCTCGGCGGTGACCGCGTAAAACAAACTACCCCGTGGAACAAACAGCATAAGTAACATAAGCAAATAATATATGCACTGCGTGGAGCTCCCCAGATGTGCATCTATTAGCATGGACCTTCCAGCCGAGAGCGTCCAGACGCAAGAGTTTTCGAATATAAGCGGGCTTGAGTATTGGAGGTAAGGGAGCGAGTCTCACTTCGAATGGGTTGGAGTGTGAATGAGTCTCAGTAGTATGAGTACGCCTCTGCGCATGAGCCTGGGGCCTGCTGGGGCCTCTTGAAACCTCCTGGGGTTTCCTGGTGTCTCCTGGAGCCTCTTGGGGCCTCTTGGGGCTCGCTGTGGCCTCATGAGGCCTCCTGGAGCCTCGCGTGGCCTCCTGGAGCCTCCTGGAGCCTCCTGGGGCCTCCTGGGGAGGATTCGCGTCCCAGGAGAGGCCCAGACGGTAGGACCATACGTAACGCACTCCGTATGGGAGCCACGGGAGCGCCTCCTGCTCCTGAGGCCTCCTGGGGCTTCCTGGTGCCTCCCGGGGGCCTCCTGGTGCCCACGTTGCGCTTCCTGGGCCGCCGCCGCTCGTCCCACCTGCTCCTCCCCCTCCTCCTCCTCCTCCTCCTCCTCCTCCTCCTCCTCCTCCTCCTCCTCCCCCCCTCTTCCTCCTCCTCCTCCTCCTCCCTCCTCCTCCTCCTCCTCCTCCTCCTCCTCCTCTCTCCTCCTCCTCCTCCTCCTCCTCCTCCTCCTCCTCACTCCTCCTTCACATCCTCCTCACTCCCTCCTCCTCCTCACTCCTCCTCCTCCTCCTCCTCCTCCTCCTCCTCCTCCTCCTCCTCCTCCTCCCCCTCCCCTCTTCCCTCCTCCTCCTCCTCCTCCTCCTCACTCCTCCTCCTCCTCCTCCTCCTCCCCTCCTCTTCCTCCTCCCTCCTCCTCCTCCTCCTCCTCCTCCTCCTCTCCTCTCCTCCTCCTCCTCCTCCTCCTCCTCCTCCTCCTCCTCCCTCCCCCTCCTCCTCCTCCTCTCCTCCTCCTCCTCCTCCTCCTCCTCCTCCTCCTCCTCCTCACTCCTCCTCCTCTCCTCCTCCTCCTCCTCCTCCTCCTCCTCCTCCTCCTCCTCCTCCTCTTCCTCCCTCCTCCTCCTCCTCCTCCTCCTCCTCCTCCTCCTCCTCTGGGTTTCTGGGTTTCTGGCAAGAGGTGCAGGTCGAGCTAGCTCACCCTACACCAAAAAATGAGGGAGCGAGGAGACTCGTCCTCCCGCTCCTGGCGCCACGGACGCGCCCGCGCCTGCGCGTCCACCGCCACAAGCGTGCCGAACTACAGTGGCACGATGAAGCGGGACGGGCGACGCTCGCTCTCTCCCCCCCCCTCACAGCTGCTCTCTCCCGCTCCACCACTTCAGCATGCTGGAACTTCCCAGCTCTAGGCTCCCTGCTGCAGGGAGAACGTGGAGTAGGATGGGGCTCATGGGCTCTCCCATCTAAGCTCGTCGTTGTTAGCTCCACCACCTCCAACGGGCTGGGACGATCCAGCTATGATAAAATCCCTCCCATCTAACAGCAACTGCTGGCGAATGCAGTCGCTGCGAGACCAAGACTACCAAGGAGGTGGGGTGGAATAGGGAGGGAATAGGAGGAGAGAGGGACGAGGGGACGAGAAGCCCTGGTGCCTCTTAGGGTCTCTCCCTGCTGCTGGGCCTTCTCGCTTCCTTGCGTCGCTGCCTGCACCTGTCACGCAGACTGTCGCGCAGGCCTTCGGCAACATAAAGGACATACAATGAAGCCTGACACAAGTTACAGGACGCTCAAGTCAAACTCACTGCTGTGGGCATTTCACGTCGTCCTTGGGCGGTGCGATGCCAATACGGCCCGTACCTTTATCGCGCCCCTGGAGACTTGCATCCCACCGATCTCTCTTGCGAATGAAAGGCCTGGTCGACTGGGTTGTGTTCACAACAGTGTACTGAAGGGAAATGTCTCGGATATAATCCAAGCGAGAACGCTTGCGAATAAATGGGCGATTTGAGCTGGCATCAGAAAGCACAGAATATTGCTGTTCGATGAATCGCATATACCTGAGTGTCTGCACAGAGTGGTGCTCGGCGCAGACGGCGCCCACTGGCACCGAGGAGAAGACCACTGCGCCGCACGAACATCTGAGGCCCTCTGATGTCGAGAGCGAGCCAGCCAGAAACCAATGTCCTGACCCAGGTATGAACTCTGCCACCCTCGACCTTGCGCCTGGACCTCCAAGCGCAGCGGGGCGCTGAGGATGTTGGCGGAGCTCAGGTGCATCCGCAACTGCGGCAGGGACAAACTCATCCGCCTCAGCCCGCAGTGATGCCACAGGCCAGGAGGCGGTGCAAGCCGCGGCCGCTTCGGACAGCAGCGGCAGCGGCCGCGCCTCGGCGCTGGCAGCACTGCTCGCCCCGTCGCCGTCCGTGTCCTCGAGGAGCGCTACGGCTTGTACGTGGCCGTCGCTCTGCTGTCCTGCACTGTCATGCTGCACACGCTGGGAGAGGACTGCCTCCAAGGCCTCCGCCCTTGGAGCGCCTACAGGAAAGTCAGGCAGCACAGTAGTGACTGAGTGCAACAGGTTGCGCACGACGGGGGCGAACTCCTCCACCACGACGTTCTGGTTGGATTCTCCAGTCACCTTGTCAGCTGCTGCCAACGGCTCATGTCGAGCCTTGTCGGCCGCGACCTTGATGGCACGCCAGTTGGCCGACGTCGCAGGCTGGATCGAAAGGAGGCCCTCCATGGCCCGAATTGCATCACCAAATCTGTGTGAATGTGAGCCGAGCTGTGTATCCAGTCGCCAGTGTACTAAAAGTGCCTCTCCCAACTGCCTCAACCTCACTGTGAGTTCTTCGCGCAACTCCACAGGCGGGTCGGGGAATCCAATCGCTTCATCAGCACACTGAACAGCAGATGCACTAAGAAGATTTCGGGCACGTTCTCTGCGAAGACGCCGAGACAAAGCGGCGGCTGAGCGTCGAGCCCATGCCTTGCCGCACCCTGGCCCACCTCCAGCGCGCACTGGGGGGCCTCCCGCAGCCATCGTGCACCCGGCAGCCGGCACCATGAGCTAGCACATGGAGCCAAGATGTTGGGGCGCCTCCTCCTCCTCCTCCTCCTCCTCCTCCTCCCTCGTCGTCCTCCTTCTCCTCCTCCTCCTCCTCCTCCTCGTCCTCCCTCCTCCTCCCGCGTCGTCGTCGTCCTCCGCCCTCTTTCTCCTGTCGCAGCTGCTATTGCCCAGGCTACGGCTCACTCCATGAGTTTGCCTATTGCAGGTCGTCTCGTGCGGTGTGCAGCTTTGCCCTGCGAGCGCTCGATTCGCGATGTGGCTGCCTCACCCCGAATGTGCGTTTCCTCTGGCCTGCGGCTGGCGCAGGGGGAGGGGGAATTCGTCACCTTCCACACGCTCGTTCTCTCTCAGGCCACGGTTCACCTCATGAGTTTGCCTACTGCAGGTCGGGCTGTGGGTTGCACCCGGTTTGCCTGGCGTTTCTTTGAAGGTCTCAGGCGTCCAGGCTGCACGGGGACGCGCAATTCGAGACGCGCGCCTGTGGAGCCCAGCCCCTCGGCCCATCTTTGCCCGGTAAGGCTACTGAGTTTGGGGTATTCCCTTTTTCACGGGGCGCGTTCTGGTCTGTATCCCCAAGAAGTGAGGGCAACACCGTGATCCACCAGAGAGCCCAGACCCCCGACGTCATGATTTTTTCATTACGTCGACCCCTGGAGGTCTCAACCCATTCCCCTGGGCCAATTGTTACCTGAGTCGTTGTTTGACGGTCCCGAGGGCCGGTAAGGGCCCCAGAGGCCGAAAATAGCAAAAAACATCCCTTCATGTTTTTTCATTACACGAGGGGGTCTGGGAGGCAAGCCGTCATCCGCGGGGCGACGACACCGGCATCACCACGACACCTCCGCGACATTACCCCCGACACCTTCCCAGTGTCGGGGGCGCGAGGTCGCCCCCGAACGTAGGAGGACACGCCCGACCTAACATCTGGGCGCGGGCGGAAACGTCAGAGAGCTCTGTCGATTTAGGGATGCTTGAGCCAGCGTCTAGGGATCCTCCTCTCGGGCTGGTTCGTCCAAACCGCCCTGGCGCCAGTCATCATATTCTGGCCGTCTGCGTCCTGTTAGACGCAGCGAATTACGGCATGAACTATGAGTGTCCTTGCCGGCCCACGCGTCCTTCTGGATGCTTGGCTTTATATATATATATATATATATATGTCTCTCTCTCTCTCTCTCTGAGCCGGCGTCCCACGGCACGCTGATCATTACCTCGAGAATTGAGAATCGACTGGGAGTGGACGACGACGGCGACCAGTGGGCGCTCAACGAGGTGGTCGTCACGGGTGCACAGTGACCTCGCGAGAGGCAGCAGGCAGGAAGCTACCAGTTCGACAGCCTCTGCCCGCGGTGCAAGCAAAGAAGAAAAAGTGACATCCTGGAGCCTCCTGTGGCCTCCTGCGGCCTCCTGGAGCATCCTGGAGCCTCCTGAGGCCTTCTGGAGCTTCCTGGGGCCTCCTGGAGCCTCTTGGGGCATCCTGTGGCCCCTTGGGCCTTCCTGTGGCCTTCTAATGCCTCCTGGAACCTCCTGTTGCCTCCTTGGGCCTCCTGGAGCCTGCTGGAGCCTCCAATGGCATCCTCGGGGGGATCCGTGCCCACGAGTCTGGCCACCAAAACAAGCAAAGCGATCGAGACATCCTCAAATTCTGGCCCCACTTAGGGGGGAAATGAGCGCCTCGCTCGAGACATCCTCCAAATCTGCTCCGAAAGCGGAGGATGTTGCGGCACCGAAACAAGCAAACCGCTTGAGACATCCCAGCCATTTTGGCGCGAACGGAAGCCGTGCAATACCCCCTGGCGGCTCCACCTTGGGGGTGCTGAAACCCGCGCCTCGCTCAAGAAATCCTCAGAATCTGCTCTCGCAGCGCAGACGAGCCTGGCCCCCCAAACAAGCAAACCGCTCGAGACATTCTCGCCATCTGGGCCCCCTTGGGGTGCAAACACCAGCGCCTCGCACGAGACATTATTTTTCATCAGCATCATTCATCATCGGCATCATCGTCGTCAGCATACTCCTATCGTCATCGTTCGGTATCAGCACACTCTGAGTGCATCACTCTACTCTGAGTAGGACGGGGACGAGAGGGAAGAGGTGGGGAGGTCCGCGCGGTCGGAGCAACAACGGTAGCCCCATCATCTGGACATGGGGAGCACTACAACATGTACGTGTATCATGGGAGCCCTTGATGTGTCTCGACCTCTCTCAGTTGCTCTAGCCTCCACTGGCTTCCCACTTTTTTTGGGGGGGGGCCTTCAGCTCCTCGGGGTCGGCTGGCCGCCCCAGGGCGTGCCCGGCCCGCGCCTCGGCGGGCGCGGCGGAGGGGCGAAGTGCGCGAGCACGGGGAAGATCGGAGGAGTTAGGTGACGACCCCTGGGGTGCAGCCGCCACGGCCACGAAGGGGATGTGTTACCCCTTTCCTTTTCCCCTCTCTCTACTCTCCATGTACCTCCCCCCCAGCACTCCCTGTTTCCCTCCCCCACACCCTTTAGTTCCTCACCCCGCCCCGCATCGATCTCCCCCTCACCGCCTCCTTCTGCCCCCCCCCCCCCCCCGCACCCTTTTCCCTCCCCCCGCACACTCGGTTTCGGTCCACCCCCCGTCACACCCATTTCGCCCTGCCCCAATTCAATGCCCCCTGGGCCTTAACTGTTCAACCATATGACACGGACTTAAGCCGAATGTAGCCGGATGGAACAGCTTCAGCCAGTCTGGGCCTGAGGAGCCACATGAAATACCAGGGCCGATGCATGATTCCACTATCCTTTTCAGGCCTGAATTGTTTGGGGAGATCGTTATTCCAACCGCCTTCTGCCCCTTCGGGGAGGGGGCAATCTCTTCGCCATTCCTCTACTCCAAAGGAAAAGGGGGCGATGAGGGGGGTGAGGCGCGGGTCCTTCAAGCGTCCAGTATGGCCCCAAGATGGCCTCGAATAGCCCAAAATGGCACACAATGGATCAACATGGCCCGAGGTGGCCCAGGTAACGTCAAAGAAATTGGTACGGTTTCGCCGCGCGAGCCCTGCCACTGGGGCCGTCTGTGGAGCTCCCTATGGGCGGCGAAGAAACGTGTGAGGAGTGTGCCGACATGGGCGCGGTGGCGCCATGCGAACCCTCCCACTGGGAACGTCGGTGCGGCTCCATGTGGGGCTACGAAACGTAAGAGGGGTGTGCTGAAATTTGCGCGGCAACGCCATGTGGATCTTGCCATCGGGCCCTCGGTGGAGCTCCCTAGATGGCCATGAAGCGGATGAGGAATGTGCCGCCGACCTGGGCGCGGTGACGCCATGCGAATCCTGCCAATGGGACCTGCGGTGGAGCTCCCTATGCGGCCACGAAACGTGTGAGGGGTGTGCCGACGTGGGCGCGGTGGCGCCATGCGAACCGTGCCACTGGGCCTGCGGCAAAGTTCCTACGGGGCCGCGATGCGTGTGAGTGTCCTGACTGATGGCTGCGATGTTGCTGCGGATGATGCGGATGACGATGTTGATGATGATGATGATGATGCCCACGACGACAATGGAACTGATGATGATTAAGACTCGTGACGGTGACGTTGATGCTGACGGCGCTGCTGCTGCTGATGATGGTGGTGGTGGCGATGATGATGATGATGATGATGATGATGATGATGATGGTGATGATGATGATGATGATGATGTGGATGATGGTGGTGGCGATGATGATGACGATGAGGAGGAATTTTCCCCCGCTCAATATCACTGCCACGACGCACGCGCAAGGTGGCCGGCGTGGCCGCCCAGCGGATCCGTGAAACGGGCGATGCAAGCCAAGCGAGAGGGGGACGGTGCAAGGGTAGCAGGCAAAAACAAAGAGAAGCGGCAGGGCACCGTGCCATTGGCGCCCATCTCACCCTGGCGGCAGCCAAGGGTCGCGCACGACGCATATGAATCATAACGAACAAGCGAAGGACCCAGCCCAACGCGAAAACACAACAACGGGGAAAGCGGAGCCCCAGGGCCCCAACAAAAACGAGGAACCAACATGAGGAGAGGAACCTGCGACGCGGGCGGCAGAAACACAGAGAAGCCGCGGCATGAGCCTGGCACGCTATCTGGAACTTGCGGCGCGGACAGGAGAAACAAGGTTACGGGCACGGGCGTGCCCGCGCGTGACGGATCGAGGCCACGCAGCTTTGGAGAACCCGACCAGCAGGCGCGGGGCGGCCGCGCGGGGCGGCAGAGAGAGCGGCGGGCCGCGGGGCGGGGGCGGCACAGAGAGAGGCAGAGAGAGAGGGAGGGCAGAAGACGCACTAGAGCCCAGGGATGGATCCACTCATGGTAGCCGTCCCAAATAGCACGGCAAAAAGATGCGAGCGGCCTGGCGAAGTGCCCCCCCCCACACACACACACTGAGAACTCTCGGAAGCCAACGATCGCCTAGCTCAGCACCACGGCGCGGACCGCGCGGACCGATGGACATCCGCAGCCCCGCGGAGCCCACGAGAACATCGAACAGGGACGGCATCGAGCGGGCTCTGAATCGCTAGTCATCCAAAAGGACTGCCGAACGCAGGGGACGCAACAAGAGAAGGGAAGGGAAGGAGCAGGCAGGGGCAACAAGAGGCAAGAGCAGGGGAGGGCAGCAACAGGACCAAGGGAGCCGAGGGCCGGCAGGAAAAAGCAGGAAGGGAGATAAAGGGCAGGACAGACACGACAAGGAGGGACGACGATCAAGGAAACCGCAACACGCGCAGGGAGAAGCACAACAAGGAAGGCTGGCAAGGCGCACCGAGCCCAACAAAAACCAGCATGTGGACAACAAACCTGTCAATGAGCTGCGAAACAGACAAGTCGGACAACGGCCCAGTAAGCTAAATCGGGAGAGGGGACAGGAACAGTAATTGACTGCAGTAACGGGCCACGGGAAAAGGGGGGGTCTCAGGAACGCGCAATTAGGAAGGCGGGGCGGGAGGGGCCGCGGAATGGCCTCGACGGGGCTTCAAAACAACGAGCGCCTCCTGAAGCTTAACGCGACGACGAGCCACTTGCCTTAAAAGAGCAACAGTAAGATCCTTGTCAAGGCCAGAGGACCCCGTGCGCCTAGCATTATGAGCAGACAGAAAACAGCTGATAAGCGCACGCCCGACGATGTCTCTCTGGACTGCCCCCATCGCGGCCACAAACCGCAGAGACTCAGGTGCCAATCGTCCTCCCGACGTTTCTCAGTCCAAGACGGAAGCAACCCAGATCGAGGGAACAGGCCCAGAAACATCTCTTTCAGCCTAGGGCACTCTCGCTAGTGACGTAAGTCGCCGTTCGCATCGGGCCCAGGGCATCCAAAGGCATTGCGCTGCACGGTAGTATGAAACCGACTAGAAATACGCGCCCCACGGCAGAGGACTTTCAGTACGTCAGTGACGAAGTGGATGGTCGTCTCACGGTCCATAGCTTTCATACTCAGGGCATGCGCCTGAAAGCCAGGATACTGAACATGCCCGCCCACGCCCACTTAACCACCCTCACCGCCAGGGTGCGAAGGGGGGGCGAAGAAATCACGAAGACGACGGAGATGTGCCATGCATGGCCTTCTTCTGGAGCTTCTTCCTAGGGATGGGGGAGGTGGTTGGGGCCGACAACGCCCCCGCCACATTGGCCACGGTTTTGAGCCGCGATCGTTATGCCCGAGGGTGCCCGCCGGTCGGAACCCATTACCAACCAGGTTCACAGTCAGATCCTCACACTCATATTGTATATCATCCAGTGCTGCACAGGACATCACGACCCGAAACTCAATCGCCTTCGAGATCTTATCCAGTCAAGACATTCAATGGAGGAGGCCCGAAGCCCAATCAACATCCCCTTGGAAAAGGGCATGCCGGGGCCCAGTGGCGATGACAAGGAGCGCTTCGTTGATGACCGGCCGCGGTGCTGGTGCGACTGGGCACAACTGCAGCTGGCGGGCCAAGAGAGACACGCAACGCGCGTGGAATAGCTCCATGGCAATCGGCAATCCCAGCCCCAATCCACGGAATCTCCGAAACGTCTGCCAAAAACGGAGGAATCACATTCAACCGTAACTTTTCCAGCGCTCCAAGACGCAACCATAACCCCATATTGACAACCACCCTCGCGAAGCCAAGATCAGCAAAGACACTTCTCTTGCGTCGCAGGCGAGCAGGGGGCTGGTCAGGGTCAAGGAAGCCAATCACTCAGACTTCGCGCTTGCCAATGTTAATAGGAAGACCAGTAGCACGCTTAAGCATGGAAGGGTGATGAAGAGATGGAGGCAGCCCAGTGATGATATTCTCACTGCAGATGCGCGGATCATCCGCGCGCGCCCTCATCCTCGGGACATATCCTACCAATCCCACTCGCATTCACCTAAGGACAGGGTCCAGCGCATGGGAAAATGAGATCATCGACGCTGGGCCACCTAGTCTAACGCTGCGGCAAACGGGAAGCTCTCGCGGCGGCGCGCCAGGGAAATTGATGACCGCGACGTCCTTGCGGTGCAGCTCCCAATAAACATCCGATCACTTGCCCAGGGGCACCAATCGCTTCCAGAACAGCAAGAGCCCAGGAAGTGATCAGAGACGGGAAAGCGACCGAGAAAGCAATGGACAAAACTCCAGACTTGCACCCGCGAGCACCTGGCGGAGCCCCCACCGTGCGACGTCCACAACGTTGCCCAGGATGTCACGTCCAGGGACGCCACCCATTCTGCGTGGGATCAACGGAGGACTTCGAAGCCCTCTGCAAGCCGATGGAGAAAACATCATTAGAAATATTGGCGCCCGTGTTCGCCAGGGTCAAAGGGGCGCGCTTCCCCGAGGGACCCGTCTAACTCTGCAGGGTTCTCATCGGCCTCTACATCTTTGGGCAGAGAGCACATTCTCCCGCGGTGCATTTCAAGAGCCGCTGAGCTACCTGACGACTCTGCACCTCACAATACGTAGTCCAGAAAAGAATATCCGCCGCACCACCCGCATTCCAGGAACCATGCGGAATTCCGTCTTCCCCCGGAGCCGAGTGTCGTTTGAAACGGACCAGATCAACGAAATCACCAATCAAGACGCCAGCCCCGAACATCATTAGCCGCGGGCTGCGCGTGTCCAAGCGTTTCAGGCCAGAAGGTGCGGCCAGGGATCCTCTCAGCAGAAATCACGCGGCCAACGGTCAACCGAAACTTCGCTGGACTCATCAGGCGAGGCACAAGCCGCGCCGTCCTCGCGGAAAATACCAGACTGGCCAAACCTTCTGCGCATCTTAGCCCAAGATCTGCGCACGTGCGATAGACGCTGCACCATCTTCGACTTCTCCAGACCATCTATTCCCCACTGGT